TTTATTTATCATATGGCAGAGTTACACACAGGAAGCATATAACAATATAAAATATGGAACCAAGTTGATACAACGGGTATGCAGACAAATTAGGTAATCCCCCTAAATGCTAATATCTAAATTTTCAATCCACTCAGTTGCAGCTGGAAAGAGTTCAAAGAGCTCTGTCACATCTCCTTGAAAAGCACAATGCTCACATTAGTTTGGTATGCTGCATCACAATCGCAATCAGGTCCTGGTATTTTGTCTTGTTTAAACAACAGGTCTGTACAGCTGCCAATGCCTGCTTTTATTCTATTAGCTTTCTTCCATACTTTACGTCGCAAGTGAAATCTTGCGAATCTCTTGGTGTTTATCAGGTTATGGATATTGGGTGGAACTGACTGCATCCACGTTCACAACCATTCATTCCCCAGATTGAAATGTTGTGATTGCAGGATTTATGCAGATCTTACTGCTGGGTATTGGGATCCTGGTCTGGATAGGCCTGTGTCAGCCATGTCTTTGTGGGTACTTTGTGGATACTGGCCCAAGGTCACCCAGCAAGCTTCCATGGCATGAGTGGCATTTCAGCCTGGATTTCCCAGATCCTAGTCCTACACTTTAGACCCTGCACCATGCTATATAGTCCCCAGAATGGTGTTGTTGGTATCATTAACTTCTTGGAAAAATTATATTGCTAGTATGTAATAGTGTGTTGCTAGTAACTGGAAATGCTGACTCTTATGGACTGCTGCTGGTCTTTTAATCATGGGAAAAAACCCTGTCCTGTATAATTTTATTTAATAGTAAAGGTGCCCTTTGCTTGTGCTACTTCTGAAGCTTGAATAAAAGTAGAACTTTTTTTGTATGTCCTCTGTTCTCATAGCTGCTGCTGAATACAGCTCTGGAGATTGTGCTGTGTGGATTTCCTGGGATATAGTAGTCATGGAAGCCGTATTTGTTTGTGCAAGGTGCCATGTGGCCGAATGTATGTGTAGACGAAGTGATTTCTTTCCCAAAAGTAAAATGAGGCTATTGGAAGGATCCTAAGGAGGGTGGGAATTTTTTGTCAACCAATTGGATTCCCATAGGAGACATCTGTGTCCTTTCTCTCATGATTTACTGCCAGCATGGCAGTTTGGCTCTTTTCTGCTCTATTAGGGTAGTGGGAGAATGATTGGGCTACTGCTGCAGCTTTATAGGTGCTAACCTATTGAAAAGGAGCCGTGTGAGATCCTTTCCTGGTGTTTCAGGGGCTTCTCATATTAGGGTGAGACATGGAGAAGAAATGCATTGCAGTGGCTTCCATGTTACCATAAGAACTGGACCACCATTTCAGTCTAGAACTCACAGGTCTGTTCCACAAAAATCACATGATAGCAAGTGACTACTAGAAGACTTCTCGCTTATTTCTGCCTCCCTAACTGGACCTGGCAGACTCACTGAAGCCTTTTCTTGTGGAGAAAAATTACTTTAGAGTTAAATACATTTAATTTAATCCTATTTTAAAGAAGTGTTCTTCCATTTCTCCCCATTGGCCTTATATATATAGCAAGCTTCCATGGCATGAGTGGCATTTCAGCCTGGATTTCCCAGATCCTAGTCCTACACTTTAGACCCTGCACCATGCTATATAGTCCCCAGAATGGTGTTGTTGGTATCATTAACTTCTTGGAAAAATTATATTGCTAGTATGTAATAGTGTGTTGCTAGTAACTGGAAATGCTGACTCTTATGGACTGCTGCTGGTCTTTTAATCATGGGAAAAAACCCTGTCCTGTATAATTTTATTTAATAGTAAAGGTGCCCTTTGCTTGTGCTACTTCTGAAGCTTGAATAAAAGTAGAACTTTTTTTGTATGTCCTCTGTTCTCATAGCTGCTGCTGAATACAGCTCTGGAGATTGTGCTGTGTGGATTTCCTGGGATATAGTAGTCATGGAAGCCGTATTTGTTTGTACAAGGTGCCATGTGGCTGAATGTATGTGTAGACAAAGTGCTTTCTTTCCCAAAAGTAAAATGAGGATATTGGAAGGATCCTAAGGAGGGTGGCAATTTTTTGTTAACCAATTGGATTCCCACAGGAGACATTTGTGTCCTTCCTCTCATGATTTACTGCCAGCATGGCAGTTTGGCTCTTTTCTGCTCTACCCTGTTTCCCCAAAAATAAGACCTACTCCAAAAATAAGGCCCAGCAGGATTTCTATGCATTTGTGGTATAAGCCCTAGTGTGTCTTCTTGAGAAAAAATAAATATAAGACAGTGTCTTATTTTCGGGGAAACACGGTATTAGGGCAGTGGGAGAATGGTTGGGCTACTGCTGCAGCTTTACCCAGTTTCCAAGAGGTGCTAACCTATTGAAAAGAAGCCGGGTGAGATCCTTTCCTGGTGTTTCAGGGGCTTCTCATATTAGGGTGAGACATGGAGAAGAAATGCATTGCAGTGGCTTCCATGTTACCATAAGAACTGGACCACCATTTCAGTCTAGAACTCACAGGTCTGTTCCACAAAAATCACATGATAGCAAGTGACTACTAGAAGACTTCTCGCTTATTTCTGCTTCCATAACTGTACCTGGCAGACTCACGGAAGCCTTTTCTTTTGGAGAAAAATTACTTTAAAGTTAAATAAATTTAATTTAATCTTATTTTAAAGAAGTGTTCTTCCATTTCTCCCCATTGGCCTTATATATATCTATATCTATATATAATTTGTAGCTGGTTTATGACCCTAGTTCTATCTCTGTTATTTATTTACTGAGTAACAATGATGAATGGTCTTTGCTAAATAAAAAAAAGCATCAATAGATTTTGGATACTGATACAACTCTAGAATAAAACTAGGTTGTATTTGCCTATTTCATAGGAAGGTTGTCATATTAAATAACCTCTTCTTTCCCACCTCCACCAACATCCACATTGCCATAGGTATTAAATTTGATTAAATTGCTTAAGGTTAGTATTTCCACTATTACTGAATAAACGAATAATGGCCATGATAATATAGATGATGTTTGTATCTTTTTGTGGGTTGAGTGCACAAAATAGGTAGTACATTTGAGGAGGATCATGAAGTCCAGTATTAATGTGTTAGATACTATTCGATATTGTACTCCGTACCATGTGAAAAGGTCTGATATGTGGTTCTGGTATACAGCAGTCAAGTCCCCATTGCTGAAATGATACCATTTCCATTAATCTCCATTAATTTATTTGCTTCATTTATACTCTGTCTTTCTCCCCAATGGGAACCCAGAGTCGCTTACTTCAGTCAAATCTGAGTCTCCAGATCTTTCACAATCCTGTACAGGTTACAGGTCATTTTGATTCAGTATGAACTGATATTGATAAGGGTAAATGTAAGTTACGAGTTGAACACATAGGTATCTTTATTTTTTAATGAAGGTTTCCTCTTTAGTTTTGGGTTTATGTAAATACCCCAGTGTAATAATTAGCCTACCTTTTGAGGATTCAAGCATTTCTAAATTTCATTTCAAGCATTAAATGATAAATAGGGGTTGTGTTTTCCGACTGCTAGAAATTGCTTGCCCATGAAGGACTGTAGAACATACGCCATTTATATGAGCTCTTGCTGTTTTAATTTTCATTAAAAGTGTTAATTGGATTAAGTACTCTCTAATGTCAGAGAACTTGTTAATCATCATTCACTGAGTTTAACATGGCCAGCAAAATATCAAACTTCTCCTTTCAGAACATAGTGTTTAAAAAGGTCTTTAAATGGAGCGATTCACAAGCTTACATGGATCTGTGTTTGAGTGAAACAGCTTTGCTTTGGCTGATGCTTTGCGGAGCATCTGTTTAAAAAAGATTAATACTTTATTCTAGCACATGTTCACCTGACATTAATCATTGTGGGTTAGGGCTGGGTAACAGAGGATGAACAGATGTTGAAGTATTGTTGCCTATGATTATAGTCTCATACTTATGAGCTATCTTCAGCCTTTGGGTTGTGAACAAGAGCATAATCCTACAGACAATAGATTTTTTTCAAGGTCACTCATTAATCAGTGTTGGGAAGTGCATGTGACAATAGTTTGATGCTGTTTAACATTTACTCTTCTGCACAATTTGCTTATCACTCTGTCCTGATACCGAAGGCTGGAAAAAGGATGTGTGCAGCACAAAGTTGAAAACAGCTTCTTTTTAGAAAGGCATATTATTGACAAAATACTATAGGCAGACAATTCCTGAATTGTTGGTTCTGTTATTGATCTGAATTGTAGCGCATGAGTTCTCCACACAGTTTGACAGTTAAGTGCATAAAGTGAGCTCCAAACTGGAAAATGGCAAAAAGGAAGTGCTGGATCCAAAGGACCATGAATGGAACTCCACTTGTAGAACCTTCCTCCAGCTCATTGTGCTCCTTGAAACAGTGCTGCCATGGGTTTGGTGACACCCCCCCACCCAAGGAGCAATGCTGGATTTGGTGGTGGTAGTGGGAATCTGCATTAGGAGGCAAATGGGAGTCAGCAGAAGACAAGGTTTGGATCCATCCTGGGGTGTTGGAGGTCTGAATAAAGAATTTTAACCACCTCAGAGGCCAATGGGATTTTTGGGGTATAAGCTTGTGAGAGTCATCACTCCCTTCATCACATATTTGACAAAGGGAGCTTTGACTCTTGAAAGTTTATTTATTTATTAATTTATGTATTTAACTTGATTTGCATCCTACCCTCTCCATAAATAAATAAATGAACAAATCGAATAAATAAATAAATAAATAAGTGGGCTCAGGGCGGGTTCCATCATAAAGTTCGCAGTACTCTTGAAAGTTTATACCCAAAAAATCTCATTGCTCTCTAATGGGCTACTGGACTCAAATCTAGCTGTTCTACTGCAGACCAACATGGATAGACTTTGAAACTGTCTTGTTTCATGAATTGCGAATGTCCCTGTTTTTATACCCCGCGGGGAGGGCGGGGTATAAATATAATGAGATAAATAAATAAAAAAATAAAGATAAATCCACACCTTGATTCCTTGTTTTCTTAAATTTGTAGACTGCAGAGAGATTTTGCTGCCAATGATGACAGATCAACTGAAGTATCATCTGGAAAGGCAGGAGGACCTGGAAGCCTGTTGCCAATTGCTCAGTAACATCCTAGAAGTTCTTTACAGAAAAGATGTGGTAAGGAATTTATATACATATTTAACATTGCAGTCTTGAAAATATTTGGAATTGACATGAATTAACATAAAGCTACAGCAAAGCAGTCTTGAGTGTGTATGATCAGCTTACCATCCAATTTGGGAGGGGTATGTGATGAAAAATTAAATTGTGATGTCCGTGTTAAGCTTTATTTTATCCAGTTCAGTTTATGGGACAGCAGGAGGCCAGTTTGGTGTACTGGTTAAGTGTGTGGACTCTAATCTGGGAGAACCGGGTTTAATTCCCTACTCCTCTACTCGCAGCTGCTTGATGACCTTGGGCAAGCCGTAGTTTTGTGAGTTGTTCTCTCAAGGACAGTTCTTGAAAGAGCTCTTAGCCCCTCCTACCTCACAGGGTGTCTGTTGTGGGGAGGGGAAGGGAAAGGAGTTTGTAAGCTGCTCTGAGACTCTGAGTGACGGGTGGGGTATAAATCCAATCTCCTCCTCCCTCCTCCAACTGGGGCCTCTGGTGATGGGACCCAGAATAGTAACTGTCAGTGCCACTATGGTAGCTGGCAAAGCAGTGTGCTGCCAGCCTCTTGTCTGGTACACTTGAATGTCACTGCTCAAGAAGGCAAAAGGGTAGCATTGCACCTGTCAGTTTAGTAGCTGTCAGATAGCAGAAGAGCCTAATAGGGTTTTACCTTCTACAAAACTTCCATTTTTGCCTGGGTTTTCAGTTTGAACAACTCATCACTCAGGTGCTGACTAAGCACCTTTCAGACTCTTTGTCACTACTTACCTGCTGAGATCACTGTCTGCCTACATCCCAGTATCATTAAGTAGTTGGTTGATACTTGCTTGACTTCAGGCTTCTAGCTTTGATGAGCTTACATTTCTAAGAGGACTCGAAATGGCATAGCATAGATTGCTTTAAAAGAGGCTCAGACAGATTTATGGAGGAGAGGTCCATCCATGACTTCTGGTCGTTGGTTAAAGGAAACCTTGATATCTAAAATGCCATGACCCTCTCAGTACCAGAGCTAGGAGTCAGAAGGACTCAGCCTCTTTGCTCTGTTTGTTGGCCATGCAGGGCAACTGGATAACTGCTGTGGTAAACAGGATGCTGGACAAGGTGGACCAGGGTTCCCCAACACGGTGCCAGTGAGCACTGTAGTACCCTCCCATATCTCTCCTGGTGCCCACCCAGAGTTTTTAGAAAGTGGATGGGCCCATTTCCTATCAGGGCTTCCCTGTAGGCCATAGTGATGGCTGTGCAGATTTTTAAGAGAAGAAGAAGAGAAGAGTTTCGATTTATACCCTGCCCTTCACTACCCAAAGGTGTCTCAGAGCGGCTTACAAACTCCTTTCCCTTCCCCTCCCCACAACAGACACCCTGTGAGGTAGGTGGGGCTGACAGAGCTCTTGACAGAAACTGCTCTTTTTCAAGAACAGCTCTTATCAGAGCTACGGCTTGCCCAAGGCCATCCAGCCAGGTGCAAATGGAGGAGTGGGGAATCAAACCCGGTTCTCCCAGATTAGAGTCCACGCACTTAACCACTACACCAAACTGGCTCACTGCTCTTTGAGCAGCAGAAACCCCACGGGGATCTGTGCTGAATGACTGTAAGCCACTGCCCACTTTATTAATCGCCTCCTGCTGCCCACGTGGTGGTGGGGAACCCTTTCCTCCTTTTCACAAGCTGGTCAGAAGGTTCTGGTCCTGGGTACCTGTCGCTGCCAGGGATAGGAGAAAAACCCTTCCCCTTCGAAGCCAGCGGGCTTGCTTTTGCCCCAGAAGCCACAACTGCCAGGATAGAGAAGACTTTTCCTCCCCCATGCAAGCCAGTGGGGTTGTTCTTGCCCAGGCCCTGCTGCTGGGAATGGGAAAAAACCCCTTCCCTCTGCTCTACAATGTGGCTGGGCTGCTGCTGCTGCAAAGGACAAGAGAAGAGTCTTTCTCCAATGCAAGCTGGAGTATTTCTTTTTACAAGTGTATTCAAAATTGAAAGTGGTTTGTACTCAGAATTAAACAAAGTGTAACACTTTGTCACTGAGACTGTAGGATGTTGCGTAATTTATATGGTTTTTAGTGCAATGTGTAATTCTGTGTGTGTGTGTGTGCGACTGTCACTGACTTAATAATTGCATTGTATTTCTTTTCTCCCCATACCCCCAGTCTACAAATTGATCAGTGGTGCAAGGTCCTCATACCCACTGAACTTGAGCTCTTATATGCATCCAAGGGGTTTACTAGGTTTTAAGGGCTATTAAAATGGCTTGCTAGGCTTTATTGAACCAGGACACTGCTGGTTTAAATTGACTTTCTTAAATTCAAGATATATGAGTTTCCAGTGACACCATTTAACTTGATAATGTTCTTGCATGTTTGGTTAAAAGTGGCTTTGCTTACTGCTGCCAACTGCTTCGTCTGCAGGATTTAATTTTTTTTTAAGGGGAAAGTTGTTTGACTTGTACCTGGGGCACTAGCAATTATATTACAGTTTCATTCCTGCAGAGAGGAGCAAAGCTGGGGTGCTTCTGCTTAGGAAGGTGGCAGGAGACCTACTGAGAAGACAGAGCACATACACACACACAAAACCTTTATTGGCATTGAAAGCACAAGACATCATGGAAATACAGCAAAATACTAAGATGCATCAGTCACTTACACTTGGCTATTCAAGCCTCGTCTTCTGATTGCATAATATAAAATTTTTGCAACAGCCTCCATTATTTTGCAATTCGAATTAAACAGAAGAAAGTGAACAACTGAGTCATCAGAATGCCAGCTCTTACCCTCTAGAAGTGGAGTAATAAAACGAGATTGAATATCCCTGTAAAGCAGGCCCGTAGCTAACAACTTTTTGCTCAGGGGGCCCAAGTTTTTCTCAGGGGGCCCACCACCATTGTTCCCTCTAAGCTGTGGAGTTTTGTGAGCAAAACAGTCAGCCCCCCCCCAAGCCTAAAGGGGCAACCCCTTTTCTTTCTTTTAACAGCAAGGATTCTGTGCCGCTAAAAGTTGGGTGAGCCGTGGAAAAGTAACTTTTTGAGTCTCCAGGCTACAAAAAGCTACATCTAAGAAGGTCTGCCTCTTAAGCAGCTCTCTTATGTACAGCAACAAACAATGATAGGGCCGACTATCTCATGACTCAAGTTCAGCCAGCGTTCATGCTGGAAGTCTGTCTGACACAAGTGAAGAAACGCAGAGAGTCCCCTTTTGAGGCTTCAATCCAGATTGGTACTCCATAGAATAATTGAGCAGCTAATTTGGCATTAAAAACTTTAAGGGCCTCTGGCACATACTGGTTACCCCTGGTATAATGGAAACGTGTAATCGCCGCAGCAATGTTGTTCGCTGCCTCAGTTGCTGAGAAGACAGAGCAAGCAAGCAATGAATTTGCTGAACAAAGAGACATAGTTTTGAATGTTACCAGAAGTCCACTTCCCAAGTAATACTTGGAAGCTGTCAGGGGATATTATTTGGTTAAATTATTACTTATTTGGGATGGAGGAGCAGGATGGGAAGAAAAAGCTGGTAGCTATAATTAAGGAAAGGGAAGCAAATTTCTCTTTTCAGTAGGGAGAGAAATGCATGAGAGAGAGTGACCCTTGTTTTATGTTGCTTCTGTTGGAAATGTAATTACCACTTACTATCAAGCTGGTAGAATATGTGGTTCAGGAAAAAGAGTTAGACATGGATGTACAGAAGATACATCTTTTTCACTGTATAGGAGTACATTGAAAGGACATAAGAGTTTTCTGTTAATTTCAACTGCAATGTGAGGAATTTCAGGTTCAAGTTACACATCTACAGGAGGGGCATATCAATCCAGGCATATAGAAAGTCTGTCAAGATGGAAAAACAAGTTTCAGACGGGAACAGGTCATGCTAATGTACCCAAATCCATTTACCAATCAGTAGAATCTCCTTATGTCCACAGCATTTAGGCACTTGAGTTTCACAGATCTCTGTTATTTCTCCCAAACTGTTTAACATCTACATGAAAAGACTGAGAGAAGTTATACAGGGCCCGCAACATTTGGGCCACAGCATGGCAGGCAGAGGTGCTGCCCCATGTACTTTGTCAAGTGCCAGAATGACTGCCTGTATGGCTATTTTGGTATGTGAAAAGGTGAGGGGTAGAGGAACCAAGAGCACTATGCCTGTGGCCTCATGGCATCTTAAAATAATTTTAAGTGGTGAGGGCATCCTTGTGGCAGCCACAAGGACACCATCACGTCTAGTTTAGCCCTCAGGTGTTGTTGGGCAATTGCAAAGCTGCCGGAGGACAAAGGAGTCAACCTGTCCTGGAGGGTTTTGAACTCCTCCTGAAGGAGCAGGTTTGAAGCTTGGGGGTGCTGCTACATCTTGGGCTACAGATGGAGGTTCAGATTTCTTCTGTGTCATGTAGCACCTTTACATCAGTTACAGGCCTTACATGATTTGGCCATAGTGATTTGTTCTCTGATCACATGTAGGTTAGATTACTGTGATGTGCTTTATGTGGGAATGCTTTGACAACTGGTTGGAAGCTTCAGATGGTCCAAAATGTGGAAGCTAGGTTATTGTTGGGGGCTGGATTACTTCTGTGTGGAAATATCTGCACTGGCCGCCCATCAGTTTCCATTCCCAGATCCTAATTGCATTGGGACCAAGGTACTTGAAATATTGCTTCTGCCCATATTGTTAAGACCCTCTACTAATACTCTGGGCTCTGTTTCCTGCCTTCAGAGGTGAGATTGGTATTGACCATATATGCAGTGTTTTCAGAGATGGTATCTTGCCTTTGGAATGCCCTACCCCATGAGGCTCACCTGGTGTCTTTCTTACTTCTTTAAGGCTAAAACATTCCTTTTTGCCTAGGTTTTTAACTGATTTTTGTTTTACGGTCTGCCTCTGGGTCAAGAACCATTTTATCTATATCATTTTAGGCCGCTCTATGTTATTTTATGTGACATGTCCTGACTTATCTTAGTGATGTTGGCCTGTTTCTTAGTGGCTTGTTTTAATGACATTGTTTTATTATCTTAGTTGTAAGCTGCCTCGATCAGGTCTCTGGAGAGGTGGCATAAGCATTTTCTAAGGAAATAAGTGCTGACTTTTCTAGTTGTCATATGCATGCAGGTATATGGCTGAGCAGGGCGTTTTTTGTAGAAAAAGCCCAGCAGGAACTAATTAGCATATTAGGCCACACCCCATGCCTTCCCTTGGCTTGCCTGGGCGCCCCACAGCTGTGGGGAGCCTGGGCAAGCCAGCTCTTGGACAGGCCGGGGAAGGCATGGGGAGGCATTTAAAAGCCTCCCCGATCCTTTCAGGGGGGCCCCTGGCCCACCCACCTCAGAGTCGCCGGGGGAGGTGTCACTGTCCAGGCCTTCCCTCTGTAGCCACGCACGTAGAGATTTTGGCTGTAGTGGGCGTGGCCAACTCTGAAGCCAGCCGGAACTCCGTTCCTGTGCATTCACCAAAAATAGCCCTGTGGCTGAGGGTGTCTCACTGTCAGTGTTTCTTTGGCTGGCAAAAATCTTCAGAGTTCAAAAAGTGAAGTCCCCCAGTGTGTTCTATTTGAGCTGGCTTTCAGATGGTTGCTATTAGTGTAGATAAAAGCTCAGGCTGTTCACATGGTCATTTATATGAGGTTTAATATTATTTATTTAGATCATGTATATTCCACAGGCACTCTCGGCAGCTTAAAAAGGTTTATAACTAGCAGTTTAAGGCAAAGTGAATGGCAGTGAAACCATTTTCCCCCCACAAAGAAAATTGGTGTGGTGATCCAAAAGTCTCCTTTCCCTCTCTAAAGTGCTGTGGAGGAATGAGGGCGTGGTGACCATGTTGATAGATGTTACCACCCTCAGGTGGTTCTATTGCTGCTATGGCTTTGACTGCTGGCTTTCTTGAGTATATCAGATATCAGTAATTGCAGAAGCAAGAAACTGATGTCTTTTTCATATTGACTGTCCAGACAGGTTAAAATTCCAGATCTGTAACAAAAGGCAGTGAAGAGAAGGCTTGAGTGCTGATACCCTACATAAGAAAGACTTGTGTTTGCTGTCCCTGGCTTGTAATTCTTTTTCTTTCAGTACTGTTCAGTGAACCTAGTCCACTGTGACCCCTGTCCACATTTTCCAATGGTACTTGAAAGTTTGCATAGATTTCCCATGTGAAATACAGCATCTGTAACGAAGAATCTGAAGGCTTACTAATGACTAACAAATTTATTGTGGCATAGGCTTACATGAAGCAGAGGCTTCATTATTAGATGCATGAAGTATTACACTCATTTGGGAGATAAATAATACACTTTACCTTTGTTCCAGGCCTGTAGCTACAGTTGGGCATTTTGGGGTCCTGCCCCCTTAATTAAAAGCCCTGCCCCACAAGCCATGCCAGAAACCTTATTTTTGAGGAGAGACCCTTGCTGCCTGCTGCTGGCAGTGGCCAGGGTAAGAGCACCACTGCTTGCCTTTGGGCTTCCCTCTACCGTACCTCCCACTGTGAAATTTGGGTGTGTGTGTCATCATGGGACCTGGGAAAAGACAACCAAGAAGGCATTTAATTGTGTTTAAATTTAAATGCCTTAAGAGCTTTTAAGCTTTCTTGCCCTGTGAAAGGGAACTCAAAAGGCATTTATTTCTACTCGTTTCATCTTGGCTTTAAGTTTACTCAAAAGTCTTTGGTGAGTCTTTGGCTCTCCCAGTTGTTGATGTACATAAGCCTGTAAGGATTTCATTTGTTTATCGCAGGCAGTGTATAGCTCTTCAGTGAGATCTGAAGACAATGACTTATAGGAGACAGGGCTGGAAGACAATGACTTATAGGAGACAGGGTCTCTCAGTCTTGTTTTGGAATCTGATTTCTTCATGATGTCCACTGCATTTTTGTCAGCCTCTTTGACGATAATGCCATTGTTCTTTCTGCAAATCTGAGATTAATTGTTCACAATTTCAACCTAAGCATGAGGGTGGAACCGCTTCATAGTCTAACTGTCCAGTCTGAGGGAACTCCAGAACTACCGTAACTCTGTAAACTGCTTTTCCAATTCAGATGATGATGATCTGTTTCTTAAAAAAAGACTTTATCCTGTTTTTCAGGAGCACATGCCACTCGATGTAGCTCACAAAAATATGTTGAAACATACTTAAAAAAATTAAAATATTAAAGGTATTATGGCATTGATGTCTGATGAATGTGAAGTATAAGTTATTAGAAAATAAATGGTAATCAGGACAGAAAACCTTAAACACAAAATGGGTCTGACCCTTTTCTAGTTTCAGCAGGTACTCTCTGTGGACTGAATTGACAATTCAGACGACTTTTGCATATGTGGGGAGGGAGTACTGAATTATTTTACCACTGTTTTGTTCAGTTGAGTTTTTTAGAAGGGCATAAGATCAATAGGTGGAACAGTTTCTTGCTGGCACTGTTTTTTGCTCAGACCAACAAAAAAAAATCTGTTACCCAATTGCAGTGGATACAAAGCTTACCTTTTCAGTTTTATTTATTTTCTTTTATCAAAATATTGACATATTTCGTTCATACATAAGTGGGCCCAGTATACATCATTGTAGCAGGAGTTTGTATGATACAACATGTTTTCTGTGTGTGTGATGGATAGCTCAGTTATCAATGATCTTGATATTCTTTAGTTTTTATTTTGAGCCAGGCAAATAAAATATATCTGATATGATTTGGTTACTACTGGAATTGGCTTAATTGCTTTTGGTGATATCCATTGGTTTTATGCCTTGTCTTTAGGGACCAACACAACGCCATGTGCAGATTATTATGGAGAAACTACTGAGGACAGTAAATAGAACCGTTATCTCAATGGGACGTGATTCAGAACTCATAGTAAGTGCTTTTTGGCAAAAATCTAAAAATATTGTTGCAATTATCCCTCCTAAAAGTGCATAATCCAACAGGAACCTCTACTAAAGAAAATGGTAAAACATTTATACAAAGCCCTGAATATAGTCTCAAGTATGTCTGCTTATTTTTGTGGGAGCTTCTTCTGCAACATGATCTCATTGAATTGTACCCTAAAGTGTTAAAAGTTAATTCTTGGGCAGCGGGAGAAAAACAGAAGTAAAAAAAAAAGCAAGTCATAAACTTGGATCCTGTAACAAGTTCTGTGCACACTAGTCTCTGCTGTGGAGTGTTTTCTCTTCTGCTGAAACTTCTTTTTGTTTTAGATCAATTTAATAGGCCCTTGTGCCAACAAAAGTTTTAGCAGAAGAAGTGCCCTCAGGGGCAGACTGTCTAGTATGCACAGAAGTTATTAACAGAATCCAAGCCTTTGTATATTTTTTTTACATCTATAGTGTAGAGCTGAAGTAGAAATTTTTTTAAAATTATGGATTAGTAGACCAAGATATATGGCTGTTCTTTGTAAGAGATTATCTTGTATTACACTTGGTTTGGCTTCATGGCTGGCTATTTTCCTTTGTCTTCTGGCAGGTAAACTGTATCAAGCAGTGTGGCAACTGATAGTATGTCTGTGGGCACTCGTTCTCAGAAAAGTTGTTCAGAAGGATGTCCTACTGATCCAAATTTGCTTTAGTTAATTATGCCTGCTGGTATTCACTAATGAAAAAAGAATTCATATATAATTTCATTTCTATTGTAAATTATAGTTGCTTGCCTCTATAAGGTGTCAACTCTCATCTCAGTGGTAATCTCCGTTAAATATTGCTATCTACTCTTTTGAAGCTTATTTCATTCATCAAATACACTTGATTATACACTTGGTTATACATTAAATTTCAATCTTGATTACTAGACAGGTGATAAAGTTTCGATTAGCTGGAATGGAATGCCCATACCCATCATTAATGTACTTTGTGGAAGATGGTGAAGGTGACCCTTACTTTAGGAAACTCTAATGAATGTTCATTACTTACATTACGGCTTCCAACTTGATATTGGTAAATAATATTTACAGCTGTGGCTTTCTTACTGTTGGTCATGAGTAGGGAGGGGCACGAACCTAAAAATTCTGATTTGGAGTTTAGGACAGCCCCTGAACTGAACCCCAAACCAAACTGAGCCAAAAATGCCTCGAACCAGCCAGTTCAGATCCCCCTTTCTCCCAGCCGTGGCTTGCTGTGGCTGGGAGAAAGGGGAGTATTGCCTGGGAAGGGTTAAATGGCTGGTAGCCATTACTGTGTATGAACATTTTACCGTTACTAGCTGTGAATTCTGTTGGTAGAGTTTCATAGTTTATTTATGCGCCGTGCAAAAAAAGTCAGACGCTTTAAACCTTCTGTATGTTAACATCATTGGTGTCTTCAGAGGAAGCAGTTTGCCCTTCCTTCTTCACCTTGATTTTCCTGTTCTTTGCTACTGTAACTTATTATACCTTTAGCTCTTTATGCTTCCCCATGATCTCTTGATGCACTGGATTTATCACTCTCTGTAGCATTTCCCTGTGTACAAAATTAAAGCAGAGTTCTGTCTTCACTTTCTTCCCAGTCTCACTGGATTTATCACTCTCTGTAGCATTTTCCTGTGCACAAAATTAAAGCAGAGCCTATTTGAAACTAATTATTTTGTCTAGTTCTGTCTTCACTTTCTTCCCAGTTTGTTCTAACCATGTCTTCCTTCACTGCTATCTGCTGTGACTTTCTTTCTCTTAGCAGTGTTCACTACAAATCCTAATACATTCTGTGTATCTTGAACATTAATTTATTTCTGTATGATAACATACATCATGCAGTGTGGCTCCATTATCTGACATGATCCAGATGGTACCTTCCCTATTAGATCCTCAGAAGAAGTCACTGTGGTGATTTTCTGTGATTCTTCACTAGTAAAATCATTTGGATCTAATCTGAATTATGAGTTTGTTCCTAATTGTGTCCTTCCTCAACTCCTTCCAGCCAGAGTTGTGTGAATCAACATTAGTATTCCTGTTGGATGATCTGTATCTTGAGGTTGATGAGGGCAACACCTTCCTATTGTACCTCTCAGAAGCTTGTAACGCTGAACATGCAGTTTTTTTCAGAGTGAATGGAACGTGTGGCTGGAATAACTGGACAGGCATTCCTGTGTTTCAAAATCCATTTTACTGCATTCAATATGGCCATTAATTGGGGTAGTTTAGCACCATGGTAGTTGTCTAGCAGTGTTCCTCTTGCTTGGTATTATCATAGATGATGCATATAAAGATTTTTGGGTATATATAGGCACTTGGCTCTGTATTTCTTTATCTAATCAAAGGAGCAGTTGCCTCCACCCTAAACTAGTTTTGGAAGCCACGGGTGTATGGAGTTAAACTGAATTAGAATCTAGATAAGGTGGAGGTGATTCCGATGGGTAATCCTAGAGCTATTGATGGTAGTGTTATGCTTGCTTTAAGCAGAGTGGCATGTATCCCTTTGCATCAGGCTTGTAGACTGCAGGATGTTCTGCATACTCCTGGATAATCAGGTAGCTGCAACAGCCCCGTTTCTCTTATGAGCTGGAGTTATTGTGCAGGCCGACCCCTTTTTGTAGCTGTGAGAAGTTGCGTCGCTGTTTATGTAACCTTGAGAATTATTTCAGTTTTATGTGGGGCTTCCCTTGAAGTTGCAAAATGTTGTAGTTGATCTCTTCAGGAGGTGGGAACACATTAAACCAGTTTTTGTTTAGCACGGATACTAACTACCTGTGTTCTTTTGGGTCCAAACTGATGTGTTGGAGCTTACCTTTAAAACTTTCATAGCCTTGGAGTAGCAGAATCTGTCTCTCCCTGTATTGTGTGAAGCGAAATTATCAACAGCTGGAAGTAAGGCTTTCATTGCAGTTGCCTTTTGGTTCCATCTGAGGTCAAACTGTTTGTAGCCTTCTGTATGGGCTTCAAGTGGCTTCCTGGTAACTTCCGTAGGCCGGTGAAATAAGAGACTGTTCCTAGGTATTTCTTGGCAGCTAAATTAGTGCTGGTTTGCTGTAGAGTTTTATTATACAATTTTTGGTATTATTTTATTTAGATGTCAACTGCCTTGACCTTAGGAACTATAATTTTTATATAGGAACTATAATTTTTATAGACAGTTTAATTAAGGTTGGACCAAAACCAACAGGGTGAAATGAAATCAAAAGAGTTTTCAGCTAAATATTAGGAAGAACTTCCTTACAGTTAGAGTGTTCCTCAGTGGAACAGGCTTCCTCGAGAGGTGGTGGGCTCTCTTTTAAAAGTTTCCCTTGCTCGAAAGCTAGTCAAATCCGACTCTAGGGAGTGGTGCTCATCTTCGTTTCCAAGCCGAGGAGCCAGCACTGTGCAAAGACGTTTCCGTGGTCATGTGGCCAGCATGACTAAACGCTGAGGCACACAGAATGCTGTTATCTTCCCATCGAAGAGGTACCTATTTATCTACTTGCAATTTCTTGCTTTCGAACTGCTAGGTTGGCAGGAGCTGGGGCCAGAGATGGGAGTTCACTCCGTCATGCAGCACTAGGGTCTCAAGCTGCCGAACTACAGACCTTTTGGTCTACAGCTCAGCATCTTAACCTCTGAGCCACCACGACCTTTCTCCTTCTTTAGAGGTATTTAAATGGAGGCTGGAATGCCATCTGATGGCAATGCTGATTCTGTGAACTTTGGCAGATCATGAGAGGGAGGGCAGGAAGGGTTGCATCAGTGCTTAGTTCTTGTGGCCCTTTCTTACACACCCAGGGAAATGCTGATCACCACTTTGGGGTCAGGAAGCAGTTCCTCTCCAGGCCAGTTTGGCCAGGGATCCTGAGGTGTTTTTTTTGCCATTTTCTGGGCATGGAATGGGGGTCACTGGGGGTGTGGGGAGAGAATTTGTGAATTTCCTGCATTGCACAGTAAGTTGGACTAGATGACCCTGGAGGTCCCTTCCAACTCTGTGGTTCTAAAACCTGTTAATTTAAATGAAAGGTAGTAGATAAAAAAAAAATTCTGTACTTTTTGCATGTTCTGAAATATTCTGGGAAGATAATAGACAAGCAGATATATGATTAAATGGTGAACTTTGCTGTGCTTTATAATTTGATATTCTTTGTAGTTTTATGAAGACAATATATACCAGTCCCGTTTCACTAATTTATGCCACTGTGATGCAGTCTGAAACCTTAACTTGGTAGATCTTGCCTAGGTTTTTCTTCTATTCTCTGAAATTCAGTAAATTATATTTGGAAGTGAGCCTTTTCTAGACATTTATAGACAAGTACAGTTGTATTAAAATACATATTGTGACAAGACTGCAATCTTGAAAGCATTACATTTCAGTGTACTATAATTATGCTGACAGCCCCAAGAATTTTTTTGTGTAGCATTTACCATTCAAGATTCAGTGCATTTCTAGAAGAAAGTCATTATAGTCAACCATTGAAGATTCATTTTTATTGTGTCAATGAAGATTCTGAACTGTAACAAAACTTTAGTATGTATCATCTTGTCTTTCATGGATCAGAGTCAGTCTGAGATTTATGGATAACTTATTTTCTTGTGGGATGATCAGTATAATAACATAAAATGTGAATCAGACACTAGCTTGGTGCAATGCAGGATGAGAGAAAAATGGTTATAAAACTGAACACCTTAACTCATAGTAACCACAATCAGTTTTTTTTTTTAATGAAATTTAAGTTTCAGGGTACTTGTACACATACTTGAGCATAAACAATAACTTCATGAAAATCTAAATGTAAACAATAGGGACATGTTCGTATCAGACCGCTTCTATTAAAACCTTCCAATATGTTGGAAAGACTTGTGACAGTAGATACATTGTAGAAAAGTAGCAGGGATGGTTTATGACAGTGATACACAGTAGCTTGAGAACCACCTGTGGTGCCTTTGAGTACCATCCCCCAATTTAGCACCTGTCACATGTTACAGTGGGCAAGATTCTTATGTAGGGGGGCTTGATTGGCAAGTGATTCCCAGTTTGAAACAGCCATTGCCAGAAGAACAGATAACTTGTGGAGCTCTCTGCCAGGGATGAAAGTAAATGTGGCTGTTTTGGTTGATGATTGACAATTAGAATGTGGCTTTCTGTGATTCATAGAGTAAGTACCACTGCTCACCTCAACACACAAGGGTTTGACCTTGAAACTATTTTGTTGTGGATAGACCTAGTAGGAATGAGAATGTTATTGCATTTGAGAAAGGGAGAAATAGCATTTTGTTTATAATATCAATTATACTTCACAGTGACATTCCAAATTTGAAAAATCAAATGGTCTGATATACTGGCTTATTAACACTGTGGCTCTGGATTTGTGTGAAGAAGAGCCAAAAAAGATGACATTAGAATTTAATGTGAAGGTACCTTTGATAGAAATATGTTGTAAAAATCCCTGAAGCCTTTTGAAAACCTTTCTCAGGGGAATCTACAAAATATATATCAGATGAATCTGTATTTAAGAGAAACATTAAAAATAGTATTCTCAGAATAAGTGATAACTTCTAAGAACTTTAAAAAGGGGGAAGCCCTTACAGCAAAATTTAGCACAGAATAAAACCAATTTGTATAATAAAATTATCTTTATGAAAAATGTGCCTTCAGAGTACATGGAAATAATCATATAAAAATTACACATGACAAACCACTTTAAATTATTAGTGTTTCAGGTGCTGCTGGAGCCCTGTTTTATTTAACTTTTAAAGACATATGGAGTTGGTAATACCTTGCTGCTATTAAAAAGTATACTTCTAAAAGAGTAAATCCAGGTTGGAAAAAAAGAGAGAGAATAAATCACATATATTTAGGCTAAAAAAGCAGATCCATTTTTGGTAGATGGGGAAGGAACAAATAAAATAGCTAAACCAGGTGTGAAAATGCAAGGATTTCATTACCCCTATTAGTCCATTTTTTGTTTGTAATTCTCAGATACATTCTTCTTTTTCTCAGTAATAGTTTGCCATTAAACTGTC